TACATTATATCGTGGTATTAGCTGATCGAACACCTATGGGGCAAATTAAAATGTATAATGTGCTTTTGAAGCTTAAAATTGGATACCGTACTATTTTTGATGGTCCTAAAACCTCGCCTACGGTTAAATTAGCTAAATTACTGTGTTTAACTTTTAATACATGTGAGCAGATATTAGTGAATACATGGAAAGCCATGCTACAAATATCTGATGTGGTTTCTTTTATTATTAACAACCTAGAAATAACAATCCTATGGACCAACGAGGAAGATAGCATCTGGATTTTCATGATCCATAAACAAGGGGATCCAGGACAATCGGCGGATGCGATTATAACTTAAGGAAATAATAGACCTAATGTAGTTGTAAATAGAGTCATATGAGACGATTGATGGCTTTTCCTACAATGGATGGCCATTGGATCAATTATTCTTGCAAAACAACGTCACATGAACTCATAAAACCACATGTTAAGTATGATATGTTATTCAGGGGTGTAGGCTGGTTTTGGCCTGGGAGCTAAATCCAAGATAACGGAACTAAATCCCTATCAATTAAACTTAATGATTATTTTTATTATTTTAACACAGTGGAACTAATTGCTGTAATGGCAGAGGGGGCGTTCACATCTCCCAGCCTACCCCCATGCTAGTGTAATTTTTCACCAATTTATAACTTCGAATGATTTTTAACTTGATCATGTTGAACTGATGCAGCTACATAGGCCTACAAGCCAGCAGTTGCCTACTACTATATATAGCATTAGCATTTCACCATGGACTGACAAAACATTCGATCGAAAATACCATTAGCTTATCACACAACATGATGTGAAATAATTATAAATAGCATATATTATGGTGAACGATGAGATGTGATTATTCTGATAACTGTTGTACATATCCATTTCTACATCAAAGTCCACCAAATCCATATCCCACCCTCGGCGCCGCGGCCACATTCAGATTCAACCACGTACGGAATATTTAGTGACTCGTAGGTGTCTGGCTTATGCCTGTATTTTAAACGTCACTTACACACACCAGCATGCATCCACTCCCGGCCCCCATCATGCATGCACCCACTCCCTAGCACGCAGCCATTCCAACATGCACTCCCCACTTACATTTCACTTCAACATGCCCTACTACACCAAAATGGACCAACTTTCCCAAAAATTACCCATCCACAGAACTATTTACATGACATTATTCTTTCCCGGAATTAATTTTTGAATCAATAAAAATGAAAATGAAACTATCAATTCAATATTCCGGGTTTCCCACGATGAGTCATCATACTATTTTTTCAAGTGATATGTGTTAGGCCTAGCCTATAAGAACCGACCGGGATCCTGTGGCCAGTTTCAATTGCATCACGTCGAACGGTTTAAACATTTCAGTAGACATTTTACAGTTATTAATAAGCTACCGGTAACTAAACTCTGGCTCTAACCATGGCTGAAACACAGAAAATGTATACATCTGGTGGTAAAGTTGAACATCCAAGCAGCTACAATAATAATATTGCCGAGATCTCTGGAGATGGTATATCGGTGAGTTTTAAGCCTTTTTTCATTTCAAGTCACAGATGTCATACGTATATTTTTTCCAAGAAAATTCTTTTCCCTAGTCTACATAGGAATCTTGGACTACACCTCCAACAGTCAAATGCATAATTTCCGTAATTCAAAAATAAAAATATGGTAATATATTGTGTTGTTGTGTAAGTATCATTGTTACATTTATGTATGTAATTAATAAATTACAAGCTAATAATAGTGTTAAATTGAGGGCAGATTCATGACAACGCAATGTATGAACTTGGGATCGCTTACATAAGAATTAGAATCCTCAACCAATTCTACAGTGCAAATTTTATAAGTACCACCTGTGCATTTTATGAATAAAACTGCAGTTTTTAGGCTTAGTTGAGAACGTCGGTTACAAAAGAATTATTATGTTTGTATACTCCAGTTACGATTTAGCATTGTATCGTTTCATTCCATTTTCATATTAGTTTTCTTTATTTCGGACTTACATTCTTACAGACCGGTCTGGTAAATACCAATGCATGAAAACGGCTTCGCTAATTAAAAGAAAATAATGTTTCATACTTTAATCTAATCAACTAAATATGAGGTAAATTCCCAGATAAAAATAGACTCAATCTCATGAATGAATTGGAAAATCCATTGGATTTTACTAACAATCAATGTAAGCCAAGTTGATTGACTTAACTATGCCTATGTCTTCAAAGTGGCAAGAGAGAGAAAGTTGATAGGCTCCTAATGTGCATAGGGCTGTAAATTTCCCTATTAGTAAATATTTCTTGCAAAAAATGCAACATGAGCTCATGAAATCACAACATACTGAATGCATCGAAATTAAATCATATGTTACACTAATGCAATTTTAAAATCAATTTATAACTTTGTATGAGCATAGACTTCGGAATTACATTCTTAGCTTACATGCAACTAAATAAGACCTTTTCAATTTGAAGAAAAACAATTAAGTTTAGTTAACTATTAAATTGTAATCTTCATCTAAATATGAAGTAAATTCCCAGGCTAATGGGTTCAGTCTAACGAATTAAATAGAAAATCCGTTGCGATTTTACTAGGAAACGCTCTGAAAAAAAAAGAAATTCCCATTTAGTAATGATTTTGCTGTTACATTTCAGTATCCCGCAGATGAAGACATTGTGCGTTTTTGGGCATTTACATGCTCGCAGCAATCTTGGGGAAGAAATCTACTCCAGATCACTACCAAGAAGGCTGTAGGACTACCAAAGTGTGTGAAAAATGCCTACACTGTAGATTTCAAAGGATATGCATACGACAAAGATGTAAATAAAAATCTTAAATGTAAGTATATAAAAATAGTCTTATATGCATTAAATAGCGATAATTACATGATTTTTATTTCATTTATTTCGTCTCGTACTGTAAAAACACAACAAACAATAACAACCGAGACGGGATTCCCAACAGCGAACTGAATTAAATTATCAAAACGGTCTCCACATAAAACAACATTAAATAAAAAACATGCCGGTAGCAGAAAGTATACAAATGTACAATATCATGAATAATAATAATAATAATAATAATAATAATAATAATAATAATAATAATAATAATAACAATAATAATAATAATTTCATTACAAATACAAAAAAACACAGTAAAAGCATTTAATTTGCAATTTACAAAATTTCATCAAATTTATAATTATGACGTCACCACAATCATGCTTTTTCGAAGTAGGCCTATATGCGAACCTTAACATTCTCCAATACTGTACTTCTTTTATTTTCAGCTGAGCTGAAGTGGATGCGGGCGGATTCATCCACGGACCAACTAGTGAAACTGTCAATGCACGATCCTATAAAACCGAACAAATACGATTTCCCATATGTCTTGTGTACATACAAGTTGAAGGATGTTGTCACCCCGTTTGCAGTCCACCAAGACGACATAGTAAGCACCATCAATCAGTTGATCAGTTAATCAATCAATCAATCAATCAATCAATCAATCAATCAATCAATCAATCAATTAATAAATAAATAAATCAATCAATCAATCAACCAGTCATTCAATCAATCAGTCAATTTATTAATAACATACTGTATAATTAATAAAAATATAAGGAAGGTAAAGTCAAAACAGTGCACAAGTGATTATGACAATAGTGATTATAATGACAATGACGAAGATGATAACTTTAATGGTAAATGTAATAGTAATATTGATGTTCATATATAATAACGACGATTAAGATAATTGTTATGCTGCTGCTGCTGATGATGATAAGGATGATGATGTTGATGGGAATTAGAATAAGGCAGATAATGATCATAATAATGATAAATGATATTTTTTTTACAGTCTTCATTAGATTCGTCGACAATAGTATTCAAGATACAGAATGCATCTTTGGGCTCGATTTCTTTATTCACTATCAGCGAAAATGAACAGCCCAGTTCATTAAGTTCACATTTCATCGGCAGGACGCCTGACGGAGACGCCATTAGAATTACTTCCTTCCTTCAGCCATCTCTAGTGAATCCAATGACATTGATGTTTATGTCAGATCAGGGTCCACGGCGGCAGGATAAGTAAATAACTAAGTCCAAATTTCCGCTAAGCCCCGCCCCTTGGATATTGTTGCTAAGGTCTCACAAAGCGACAGTAAAAACAAACGCAAACACGCGCATTTGTGGGAGACAACACGTGCTTGTTGGACACGTGCGTATTCCTGGCATTGTTCCGATATTGGTGTCAGTGTCAACCATGTTTGACCATTATGCAATCGCGGATAAAAGGAGATGTAGACAAACAAAGATGTACTACATTAAATAGATCTATATACAAAATAATATATATTTATATTTTGCATGCAACATCCAATTATGAATATGTGTCTATTAGGCTAATTCGATTTTGAAATTGATAAAATCGAATATTGAAAATAATTCTGTGAAAATAATATTTAATTGGATAAAACAAGCTATATTTATATCCCAGCTCATTAACATAAAGTACTAGGGAAATAATAATTTGAAAAAAAAAAATACCAAAGATAACTTATTGGCATGCGCCCTGTGCACTCCTATATACGCCACTGTCTGGAACTGAATTACCCCTTGCATACATGAATTCGCTGAACTGTACATATACTGTAACTACCGTATTTATAATGTTATAAGAGGTTAACACTTTCTAATTGACTCCAATTATTTATTTATTAGACAAAACTGTTGTGACCTTGAAGAAATAGCACCATTAATGAAAAGAAAAGAAAGATTATTATTTATTGTATTCAGTGTGTGTATGTGTAATGATTTGCATTTACACATACAATTCTGTTTTGGGTCACTATTTTCTATAGAAAATGTAGCATTCTTGTATATTTTAAGTCTATTTAAAAATTCCTTATATTTTCTGTATCATTTTTCTATGAAATTTATCTTTATATAAATTTATATACAGGGTATTTAGAATACCCTATATATTTCTATATAAATAATATATTATCTTTTTTTATGTGTAAATTGATGTNATATATTCAGCCTGTGCATATTATTGCAGACACACACACTTAAGTATATTCAATTTAGTACTGTAGTTCCTCTGGTATAAGCCCACCGTCTATTTTACGTTCAATTTTACTACCAGCCTTTCTTTGGGCAAAAGCCCAGGTTATGATTCGAATAAGTAGCTTAGCTGATTTTTACAAAAAAAAAAAAAAATTAATTAAATATTAGCTTAAAATTAGGCATGCAGTGCTGTGAAATTGCCTTTTGCTTGAAACGGGATTACCCAAATATAAGCCCATTCCCCAAAATCAGTCAGAATTTGTGTTGAAGACAGGGGGAAAACCAGAGAAACTACAGTAATTTTTAATAGATATTTTATGCAAAATAGTTTTAGTACTGTACATTGGTTTAACCTAGAGATGAGTTTATTAAAAAAAAACCAAAAAACAATGAAGTTGTGTGTATATCACATATGACTGATGAGAAAAATTTAAATATTATATTTTTCAACCCTATGTTAAATATTTAAAAAAAAAACTGTATTCCTGTTTAAAGGATAATGTACTGTTTTCGTTGCAATGCAAATGAATATCAGTTCCTGCGTTTTAGTAGAATTAATGGTTGGCTCTAAAGCTTTGTCCAGACTATAAAAAAAAATGGTTTTATGCCCATATATAGTCATAATGTGCCTATATCTGGTCATGTTCTGAACAGAGCTTAAAGCATGACCACTATTATGAGTAGGATGCCTAATTGCTGTATATTGTGGAATTACATACTATTTGAAAAATATTGGTTTGTGTAGTTTGAATAAAATACAAATGTCAGTGAATATTTCTTGTGTTGATGTCACTTTACCATTATACTTATCTTATCTTGTCCTTAATAATAATAATAATAATAACGTAGTAATACTGTTTATACACAGTAATATAATAATAATAATAATAATAATAATAATAATAATAATAATAATAATAATAATAATAAATGTTGTAAGTCAGTGGTGACATCATCACTTTTATTTGCAATGAATTTTTCTATTCCCAACTGATTACTATATCGATATTGTGCCTCAGATTTTTTGCGTCTCGTGTGCAAACACTCCAAGCTGGGGTGATTTTACTACAGTACATTGCGATGGAATATTTCGTTGCTAGGCCAAGCTATGAACGCACACAGAGAACCTAACAAATCTCGCTCTACAGTGCTGGTTAATACAAATGAAGCCTAGACCGCCCTAGGCATGTTATGGTTATGAGATAACAAGGTGATAGACTGAAATAATTCATAATAATGTTTGTCAATGCATTTTAATCTATTAAACAAGTGTCCACCTTATAACTTCAGCACAATCAAAGTATTCATTCCGTATTGCCAAGAGTGTCACTGCCCATACTACATAGTACTACTGCACTAAGAAATCATCCTAATAAGTGCAGCAAATGCACACGCATAGTGATCACTTAGCAGCCAGCACTTTGATGGACTTAAGATATAGGACCTATAGCAACCACTCTACAACCAGCGGTTTGATTATGAAAGGCAATAGAAAAGGTAACGGACGTCACATCTTACTTATAAAGCAATTATAGTTAAGTAATTTTGTACACTGTAAAAAAAGTAAATATAAATTGTAAAAAATCTTTAATAACCAATCCATGAGTATTACAAGCAAAAGAAATGAGGGCTGCCTACCTACCATAACCACAGTGCTTATTAATTTCTGCTAATTCCAATTGCAAACAATATATAAGCAACTCATTTCTAATACTATTAAAACTAATTGTCATCACTGTAAAAATGGCAGGCAATGGGAAGGCTGGGAAGGTTAAAATATTTTCAAACAGGTCAGTGGAGGCCTGTAGGCAGGATTTTTGAGTGGAGAAGTTTGCAAGCAAAGCGAGCCTTAGGCATGGGGCCGTCTAGGGCCCTGGCGAGGACCTGAAGAAGTAATGTTTTATTTCCATTACATCGGTGGGCCTACATTATAACATGGCTTTTGTTTATATGAATCAAATTATAATCACCGGAGCTGATCAATCTACAACAAATTTATTCCATACCACAGTTATTAAATATCAACGGCCAGAAGAGGAGGCAATCATGCATACATTTTACAATAGTAATAGTAATTTAGTGAAATGTAATAGGTTTAGAAAATTGGGGGGGGGGGGGTCTCCACATTCTCTACAACCTTTGCCTTCAGGCTTGCAGTGTTTGATCTCTAATATATGATATATTATTTTTATTGCATCAGTGGCATATCCAAGTGCCTTAAAATGGGGGTGCAGAGGTATAGTGGGGGTGAGCACTACAGTAACTCACAAAATAAGGTTATTTTAGGTTATTTTTTACTACTTGATTGTAACTTTGAAGGGGGAACCGGGGGGGGGGGGGGGGGCGCGAGTAATTTTTGGATATCGTGCCTCCCGCGCACCCCCGCCCCTCCCCAGATATGCCACTGCATTGCACATAACATTAAGTAGCACCAGGGTTTCTGTGTACAGTAGGGGGCTGAGGACTGATGTTGGGGAATCCCTGGTGCCAATACTGCTGAGACTTTTCCATTGCTAGTTTTCAACAACTGAATATTTACTGTATACAGCCAACCTACAATAAATGATGTGGCCATACAAGCAGTGATGGTGCCAGCGGTGGGTGAAACTGACCCTATCGGACAGGCCTAGACCCTCGTCGTCTGATGCCATAATGAGTTTGTAAGGCCAAACAGCACAATTTCGGGACATACTTAGCCATAAAAACTTCCATGAACCCTACCAAGGATTTTTATTCCAGAACCCTGACTGAGGCTCTAGTCAGTCCCTTGTTTCGGATTCCCCAGTTGGACGTAAAACCCAATGTTGGCAAATACCTGGAGCCACCATTGTATACAACCACTACCCCAAAACATTCACGAAAATTTTATGCTATAAAAAATTATCTTTGATATCTATTTGGACAAGTAGAAATCCAGGCAAGCATTTTTTTTTTTTTTAAAGCTTCAAATCTATTTTAATTGGAAAGACAGCTGTACACCATATCATAGTTCTTTGCTACTTGTTATATCCCCTGTTGCATAACTAACCTTATTTCTTTCCACATCAGCAATCATAAATTCTATTTGTGTACATACCAGTATTTGGCTTAATCAATTCAATAAAATATATTATAATTTACATTATTTAATCACTACAAATTCAATGTGACAAATATAAACATCAATTATTGGAATGAAAATTTCAGAAATTGGTATACAGTACAATAACAGTGGTGCAATAAACCCCTAGACAATGATTCTTGATATAATATAAAGATAGAAAAAAGTTTAAAAAAATAATAAAACATCATCTTAAAAAAAAGAAGGTGTGTTGAATACAATGTATAAAGTTATTTATGTACAGTTTCAAGAAATTTATTTACAATACAGTTATTAGGGACATCTACGGTCATCAACATTTTTGCGAGTGTACAAAGTGAACAAATGGGAAGGAGCCGGGGCAGATAAATTTGAACTCATTTTTAGGACATCCTAATTCAGGGGACACTTATCCTTGAATCGAGGGGGAATTATATCCTTTAACACTATAGACAACCCCCATTAATAAAGAAAGACCCATATTAAGGGAACAGACACACTTTCTGTTGTTTTAATTATATTTATGTTGATTTCATAATAATATAGTTTCCCATTCTAGTTAGTCCCTTATGGGGGTACCCCTAATCAGGTGTCACTTAACTGTTGGTCCTGAAAATGTACCCTTAATAGGGGTTCTAATGTATTTACAAACTATTACAAAATTTTTTTGAAATAAATAAATAAATAAATAAATATTTCAGATTATGTTTATACAATACAATAGTTGTTTTTTGTTGTTGTTCCTGTACACTATTACCCTGAAATTTACTGAATGTATTTTTAACTTAGGTGTAAAAGCACTTCATTTGAAATATGTTTAGTTACCATTATGTGGGGTACTCTTAACTATCTATATCTCTTTGTTTTCTCTGGCAACCACATCTGACTCATGATGTCATACAGCCAATATTGGACTGTGGTGGACTCGTCATATATGCAAACAAATATGCCAACTTCCATTTAAGGTTGAAAGACGTTTAATTAATTGCTGCTGTGTATTTGATTATCTTCTTTTTTTTTTAAAGCATTAATAACTTAGTAGTTTGTTGTATTCCATTTTGGTTTTATACAGTTTTAATGAACTGTTGATGAATAAAAGACTCTTTGCTTGATGTTCCATTTACTCACTTGTCACAATTTTTCCAGTCTTAGAGTATCTTTTAGCAGGAGTTCCAAGTAGGAAGGAGTCACTTCTGAGAAATCTGGTTATTGATCTTTCTTAACACATCTAAATTTATTTTTGTGCACATGGTATTTCCCATTGGCACTGTTTTCTGTGAGACAAATGAAAATAAAGCATCAAGAACTTAAAAATATCATGAATTTGCGGAAGACGTGTTATTTTCTAGCAGATTCTTGCTAGCTTGCAGAGTGTAGGTACTGTTCTGATTTCTGTGAATCTCGCGCAACATTTCAGGAGACTTGGGACCCTGTTTCAGTATTATTCTACATCCCACGTTTTACATTAATATGAAAAATTTTAAGTGTATGATCTCTAAAAAATCAACAAAAACATTGCGATACCATTTTCTGCATAGTTTGGTATTCAGTGCTATATTAGGTGCTGCTCATCTTCTGCACATCTCTGAGTGGATTCTGAATTTCTGAAGCACTGTGCCTTCTCTTGTATATTCACTATTAAACTACAACCTTCAAAGAAAAATTGCAAACCAAATAATTAATTTTTTTCTTGTAAAGTTTGGTGTATAATTTTAAGGGTTCATATATATACTCTATTGATGGTTTTGATGGATAGATAAAAATGATTATTGTCTATATAAATAACCATTATTTTAATGTTGCTGTTAAGAAATCTAAAAATCCTCACAAATTCAATTACAGAAGACAGAATTTCTATTAGCGTAAAATGATATATGTGGATTAAATTCAAATCTTACCCAACAGCGGATAAATCGCAATTTACAGAATGGATTAAAAATAAAATATAAATATATGTAAATACGGTATATGTAAATTATGACAAATGGTGAGCTAATAGAGAACACTATATGTAGCACAAGAACAATATTTTAAGCAATCATACTGCATTTCTTTGCAATTTCTCACATTATCATAACATAAATGTATTGTGTTTCTAACATTATACATAATGTTGAATTGTTATATATTGTGTTTAAAAAAAAAAAAACATACCTATTATAAAAGGCAACACTCCTAAAAGACATCCAACTATTAGAGCCAAGATATTATACACTTTGTATGATTCTGAATTAAGAATTAAAAAAAAAAAAACAATAATTATCAAAATTCTAGATCGTTAGTTTTCAATGTAATTTAGAGGTGTTTGTCACAGTAAAGTAGGAACTGTATGGTTTTCTAACCTTGAGATTCATAATTTGAGATTCGTGAGGTACTATATAAATCCAGAATTATTATTATTATTATTATTATTATAATTATATATTACCATTAGAAATACTATTGTTGCTGATTCAGCTGTGATTATTGTATACCTGGACACATAGTAAGCCTATTTAAAATTTGATCATTTGTGGAATATGCGCACTTTTATGCCATCTATACACTGCCAAAAACATAAATCCACAATTAAAAAAAAAAAGAGAAAGGATACACAAATTTTTTTAAGAACAAATGAGAACACAGTACACAAATAAACTGACAAATCAACTTCATAATTTGTTGTTAATTCTATCAATTATTTGCAAGTTATTTAATGAATTATAATAATAATAATAATAATAATAATAATAATAATAATAATAATTATTATTATTATTATTATTATAAGAAGACTTGCATATTAAATGGGAGCAGCCCTCACTGAACAAACAGCTTTTTTATGTTAATTTATCTTTGTCATTCTAAATTCATTCCATTCTCCCCTTTGTGGCATGGATACTGTACTGTGACTTTACCTTATCTTTATATATATATTATGTTTTGTAGCATTGTTACAGTTCATTCCACAATTTTTTTGGCATGCAAAACATTGAATTTTTTATTCCCCCATACTAATGATAGCCTGTGTGAAATACGATAACTGACAATGGTATTATATTATTATTTTTAGTATTACTATTATTGAGATCTTTATTTCTTCCTATGTGGCAAAGACAAGCCAAACCAGTCCCTTCTTGAAAAAATAGATTTTTAGTTAGTTAAACAGTAAATTAAGTTATAGAATGGTAAAAGAATTTATATCTAGGATTTTGTTTTTGAAGCTAAAGGAGTTTAAACATACAGCTGAGAAATCAGCTTCCAGTTTACGATTTCAGTCATTTCTTCATTTCATGTGGAGAGTAAACTTACTATATTTCTTGATTTCCAGTAGTATGGTGGATGAATTCTGTTGAGCAAACCTATTAACAGCGCCACAATGATAGAGCCCTGTATTCTTCTCAGAAACGTTACGTAACTGAAGTAGCCTGCCCGTTTGTATCAAATCACCATCTTTATACCATCTGATTGTAGGTGTTGGATAGCCATCACCAATGCAAACTAGATCTACATTCTTTCCAATGATTTGGGTAAGGTTTTGCGTTGGTTTAATTGTCAAAATAGGGCCAAATTTGTCTGAAAAATACATTAAATCATAAAATTAGTAACATACAGATATTAATCAAAATAATAATGTCACTTAGGTTACGATATGTACACCCACAGCACCACAATGACAGAGAATAAAATTAACATTTTCAAAGTGTTAATCAAATTTAACAATACAACAATAACTTCTCCTTCTAACAGTAATGTCACTGTGTGTCTGAGCTACCTGGCACAGCAGCCAATTGTGTGCACTAGACCTACGGTTTATGGTCTTTTTCCGAATGAGAATGAGACGCTCGAACCAGCGCTGATATTATTATCAATACTCCCAGGTTTATAACTGTCAATATATTTGTAACTTATCGTCTAGGTGTATCTTCCTCAAATTATTAGCCATTTTGTCTGTGGTATTAAATATAAAGGAATACTGTAAATGCTAAAATTTTACCCAGGTTTTGATGAGTATAATCATCCCCAGCACACTTATACCTCCATGGTAACATCCTGTGGGACGAGTATACTCGTCACTGGCAGTGAACTGGTGTAATAATGGCCACTGCCAACTCTCAGTGATTTTAAAGCTTTGTACACAACATCTAAGTGTATGTGACAAGCGTGATGTGCCCATGATGATGTAATGCTACACCCAAATATGGGCATATCACACATATTTGTCACATAACTTTGATAGTGTGGACAAAGATTGGTACCTTGAACCTTGACCTGAATGCTGGCAGTTTCTGGTTTCCTTATGTAGTTATAGTCCTCAGTGTAAGCTACACAGCTATAATTATTGGAATCGGCATAGGTAGCGTAGGCAATAGTAAAATTTGTACTGAGCGAATCAGCTTCACAAGCACTTTTTATAAGGTCAATACATATCTTGCAGGAAAATGGGCCTAGGAAACATTTTAAATCTGTGGTGTTACACCACCACATGTAAATTGGATGATGATTTTGATAACTCTGAAAAAAAAAAGATTTTTTGATTTATATATTAATCACTAAATAATTTAGTTTATCTTCACACACTAAAACTAAAAACTTTTTATTGGAACTTATTGATCCTACCATTTATATTTTTTATTTATATTTTTACACAATTTTTAAAGCCAGTAAGTGGTTACTGCCATAAAATTCTTGCACCCAGAGCTATAAAATAGTGCGCTTCACTTGAGGGAGTGAGCACATGATGTCCTCTCCCTTATAGCCTGGTTCTCACGAGAGCCCTAGTATCCGGATCGGGAGCTAATCGTTAGAACATGCGTGAGAACGGACAATTGGTTAGCACTAACCGTTAGCAGTATCCGGATACCGCTAACTGTTAGCAAGCGCTTTCGGTTAGCACGTTGAGCGCGTTTCTATCATCAACCAATCACACCTACGAATTTACAATTTCTAGTTTCTTATTGGCCAGTGATTCGATCATCATATTTTTGGTATCCGGACCGGGATTTTCTCGTATGGACGCACAGCAGCTAAAGGTTAGCAGACGTGTGAGAACATAGCCATTGGATCTGCCCGTGGTACTACTACAGGTAGAGGGAGAAAAAGAACAAAATTACTAGACAGACTAAAAAATGTAAATAAACATTATGAATTAAAAGATATATTACTTGAGGAGATTAGAAGTACAGTATGTGACTGTCATGGACATGCCAACCGGCAGATGACGAGTTAGACAGCATGTTGTAACACTAAAGGCCTATCTACATTTCTGTTGATCGTAAAATATTTATGAGATAGCAATCAGTAGATAGTTCAAAGCCTATTTGTGGCAACGACAAGCCAAATCAGTCACTCATCGCAAAAATTGCTTTTAGTTATTAATAGTGTTAAACAGTAAAATGAGAACTATAAAAGGGCAAAAGAATCATTAGAATCTGACATTTTGTTATGAAGTTACAGAAGTTTAAACATACAGCTGAACATTATTTGAGAAATCAACCTTCAAAGTTTATGATTTTGGGCATTTCCTTAACAATGAAAATAGGAAAAATAACAGCATACCTACCAAGATAAAAAGATACATAAAGGTTTAGTGTAAATAATTAGATTTCAAATATTTTGACATTCCAGCATGTTTTGGCCATTATCTCTGAAACACGATTTGCGACAAGTGACTGGTTTGGCTTGTCTTTGCCACATTTGTGTACCGCAGCGCATGCGTGTGTGAAGCAAAATCTGCAAGAGACAATAAATAAACAAGGATCCATACAATTTCTTTAGGAGTGTGAGGGAGCGTGTAAGGTGTTAGACTTCTGATTGTGAGATTGGTAATTTGAGACAGACGCTCGTCGCATTGCTTTTGTGCTTGGGCAAGGCACTTTGCTTACATTTGAGTATAAATGGGTACCTGGTAGGGTATCTGGTAAGTTAAGACTACCAGTTAAGACCGTTTTATAGCAATCCGCAACTGGGATACACCACAGGGAGCAGAGAAAGTTGCACAATGTGTGAGTCTGCCAAATAATGATGCCAGTGCCTTGTATAATCTGCAGATTGTGATAGGCGCTATATAAATTCTGGTTTTTTTATATATAAAAAACGTTAATGCAAAAAACACCAACATATTTTATGTTCTGTTCCCAGGTTGTATCTTACCATGTCTAATGTCTTGTTTACATGGCAGGATATATGCAGACTTTCTCCAGTGACTAATTCATATGGTTTGCTCATCGCTGGATTTGTTATCTTTGGCTGCAGACGAATTTTATTACCTGTATTAAAACATATAAAAAAGGAAATTGTACAATAATAATTCTGGTAAATTTTAATAACTGGGTTAAATTTTAATAATCACAGAAGTGGTTTGGTGCGGCGGGAACGGTTTGGTTTCCCAACCTTGAGGTCGAGGTTTCAATTCCTCGTTTTGCTTTTCGCTTGTGTCTTGAACAAGGCACTTTATCTGCATTCCATCTCTCCACCCAGGAGTACAAGTGGGTATCTACAGTAAGGAGGGTTAAGTGCAAAATACACTGAAATATTTCATGCAGAAAACTATTGAATTTCCCTTATAGGCATCGTTCCAAAAACTGGGATAATAATATGAAAAAGCACTCTGAGACTTAGTTGTATATAATGCTATATTAAAAACTACATTACGGTATTATTATGGTATAATATTCAATATTAATAATTATGAAATTATGGTGGCAGCAACAGCAGTAATGACAACATCATCAAAAAATAATAGTTGGTTTTCCCATCTATGTTTGTCTACGATGTAGAACATGAAACAACAGCAACACTTTAACAAATTTTCTACAATTTTAAACATTTATGCAAATACAAAAACCACAAAACTATATCAATAACATACATACTTTTTATTCTTTGTAGGGAAAGGAAGAGGGGGAGGTACAGAGCTTGTTAGCATTTTGGTCACTGGACTTTGGGTTTACAACATTCTGGGGCGGATGCAGGATTTGGCAGTAAGGGGTTCGTGAGAGTCCACACAATCTCAGGCCCACCATGAACAATTTTGAGAATATGGACTTATAGGTGCCCAGAAATTGCATTCTCATACATTACCTTAAAAATCGTATAGGTACTATGTTCATATCAACAATACAATACAAAAAATGTTTCTTAATACAATTTAGGGGGCACACTGTTGAACGCCCAGCTCTGCACCCGCCCCAGAACACTGGTTCTGTGTGTAATGATACCCCATGAGAACGAGTACACTTTTCAAAAAAGAAGAGATTGTCTCCCATTTTAAAGCCCAATACCACTAGGACACACATGATAGTCATTTGAATTTGTCAAGTCTTTGTGTGTGTTTCACATATAAATTGAAAATTTCTTGAGTTGGAGCACAGTAGACCTATTTGACTAGTCAATATAGGAGTACAGTACTGAATTTCCAAGTATTGCCTAATAACAAGAATTTTCTTACAATTAAAAAAAGGAATTGGCATTGTTACTCCAGTTTAAAACCAATTCTTAATTTTATTAGGATGTTATTGTCATAATCCAATCTTTAAATGTTTAAGCAATCATGATCAAGAAATGGTTGAAGGCTGTTGTAATAATAGCCACTGCTTAAAACAAACAAAAATTGTACCTTGTGCTGTGTTTGCTCGGGAGTTTGATGTAGTGCCAACAAATAGCATCAACATGATGAGTAAGTCAATGACTGCTACTTTACAGGTCAACATACTTGTTTCTGTCCTTTGACTACATTTTTTATCAACTAGAAAAACAAGTCATACACAAAGTCAGAAATAACTCCTCTGAAGAGTCGTAGGCTTCTCATGGCCCCACCCTCTAATGCACCTTCTGGTAAAATCGGCTTTCCTGTCCGACAACTTTCACTGCATATCTTTACTATAAAAAGGCATTTTAATAGGGTCCACATCAAAGATTGTTGTATCTTGGGGTGTGCACACTTCCCGGCCTTCCACCCACCCAAAGAAAGCTAACCCCCAGAAATTTTGGCATGAATCGCAGTCCACGGACTACTATAACATGCCAAATTTAGAGAGCTAGGCCTAGTGCACCATTTTGGGAATAGGATTATAAAGTTTTTAAAAACATGATTGTTGATTCTACATCAATTTTAATGTTGTTGGTTTGAATTGCACATTTTTTCCTTACAAATTAACTACTTCATTTTTATTGGAGATAAAACACTTGTATACATTACAGTCAGTAGTAGTACTAGTAATACTCTGGACTAGCATTATTTTAGTTACCATATGAGAGTTTCCTGTGTTAAAAACATGATTTACTATACTACACTTCTTAATATAACTTGTACTTTGTAATAAGAGAAATTTGTATATTATCGGTACCTGGAACAGTAACAACACGAAAGTGCTATGCTACTGCACTGTAATGCATAGGTCTATTTTAATACACTACTTAGATAGGCTTTTCTTTTTCCATCTTGATTTCAGAGGTCAAAAACATTTTTCAATTTTTTTTCAATCATATAGTAGTGTAGACTAGTCTTAAGAACATTTTGCTGGTAAAATTGGTTGGATACAACGTCCCTGATTTTTTAAATAACATGATGTCAGAAAATCAGCCCAAATGCACCGCTGATTCAAATGTTTGTCATCACAAAAGATGTCTACCAATTCTTGAAAATATTATGAATTAGGCCTAGGGCAAAGCCTATACTTTGTAGATGATGCAACAAATGTGAGGGAGGAATTCTAAGTTTAATTCCTCCATTATGAGTGTACAATGCACAAGATACAAGACCAGACTGTTTAGATAGTAAAGCCTATACTGGGCATATAACATTTAAGCACAGATTTTGGCGAAAATTAAGCTTTGACCTAATCTTAATATATAAACAATAATATGCAGTTACGATTGTGCACACCTGCTTTCTGTTTTCCTAGTTTTCCACACAAATTTGAGCTTGTTTTTGAGACATTGCCATGTCCAAAACAAAAATACTAAAATAAGGGCTTAGGGAGGCCTAATGACTTTTGTCAATGCTTCAGGACACACAAAATATGTTGGTGGGCCTAAAGTTGAACTTGGACACAGGTTAGCCGACCTAGCTAGATAGGCCTAGGCAAGGAGGTATAAACCCCTAGCCCACCTAGGCCTAGGGCCCTAGCTAGGCCGTATTATTTTACTTGAATTAGTGTAGGCTTATAGGCCTAGGGCAAAGCCTATTTGTATATGATGCAACAAATAATATCTAGATAGAGAGAGACTAGCCTAAGGCCTAGGCGTTCCAGGTTTGTTGGCCAAAAAAACACTGTGCCAAGTTGTAACTGGCATGTGTTAAACAAATTAACTTACTGTACTTCTATTTACACTAGGCCTAGGCTATAAAAGGTATAGCGTTCTGTGAACACCGATTGTTTGGTACGTAACGGAACTCTCCTCAGCGCATGCGCTCTAAACTTTCACTTTTACAGCAGCAGGGCAGCCGTGCTTGTTGTAGGCCAAGATGAAGATATTTTTCGTTGAATTTAAAAGTTCTTTTATTTACAAAATGAATAGGTTTAACAGTGTTGAGGCTGGATTTTTTAAAAATTCACACAATGATTG